TAATCCATGGTGACTAGAATCTGCTCAATGGAAGTTTACTGGTGTTGACCAGTGGATCCAAGTTGTAAAAACAGTCTAATCAGGTCCAAGTTGTTCACACCCAGCTGTTGATAAGTTTTGAGAAGTTCATGCTTAGAATTCCAGACAGTGATGTGATGATATGAGAGGAATACACTACTTTGAAGTAGTGATATGTTGATGTATCTTCAAAAGGAAGATGAACGATGTGAATAAACAAGATGGTTATTATTTTGTCTCTTCCAAACTCAGAAAGCACAATGTATATATGTATCTACGAGCAACGGTGAAACAATGCAATGTGATGCGATAAATAGCCATGTATTGGTATTGCATCAAAAAAGCGATGCAATGTATTGGCATTGCATTGAAAAAGCAATGCATTGCATTGACATCGTATTGGAAAGTGATGCAAACCGATGCCACCAAATTATAGTGCATCACATTGCATCGCTTTGCCGATGCAATACTGATACACTGTATTGAACAATCTGATGCAAGCAATGTGATGCGGGGCCCCGCATCGCTCTTGCAATGCAATGCGATAAAGGCCCGATACAATGCAATACCTATGCATGCATCACATCAGTTACATTGTTGCTACGAGATCCACTAGATACAAGCATTTTCAAAGTCTGTTAATAATGAAAGGAGTGAAAAGAATGAAAATGAGTGAAAGGTGTGTGAAATATGTGAAGAGTGCAGTTGGTGTAGCAAAACAACAAGTTGAAAAGTTATGGGTTAACTGGGTTTTGCTTGCCAGCTGACAGATAAAGTAAATTTTTTTTGAGCCCAGGGTGAAATGAGGTTTACATTACAAGGTGGAGCCACTCTTAGGGGGATTTACAATTATTCTCAAAATCGCTTACTTGAGATTAAATGCAGACTATGATTGGGATAATCTCTGAAACCACTAGAGCAATGGTGAAACCAATACAATACATGTATTTGTATGTATTGGTATCTCTATCTGTTGTTCTCTGAATATGTTGTATTTTTATTGTATCAAAAAAAGATGCTGTGAAAATTCATCAAAATTCTGGTATCTGGTCATAAATACAGCCCAACATCAAAAAATATGAAACTGTATCTTTTTTTATCTATCTTTGTTGAAAACGGTCCAAATTGGCCAAAAAATGTGTAGTGGTTTTTAATTGATAACATACAACTGTGCTGTATCTGATTTTGATAAATACGCATACAACTTTTTAAGTATCAGAAAAAAAGACACAATACAACAGTATATGAAGATACTGCATCATACCATATCTATTTCACTGTTAAGTACATTTTGCAAAGCTTTGAGTGACCTAAACACCTTCCCTTCACAAGGAATTGTTTTAAATTCTTACCTCTACATGGTGTGACTTGTGAGGTGTGATTGCAGCTTTCATCCTACTTATCAGTGATGATAAATATTCATGAGTTTATTCCAGGTGAGCTTTTGGTAAAATTATTGTTCTGTGACAGAATACAGGGGGTTTCAATGATTTCCATGTAATTTTTGTGAGGGCTGGGAACCACTGAGTCATTGTTGAAACTTCCATCAGGAATGGGCCACTATGCATTTTTCCCAAAAAGTGTTAGCATGGCAGCACCTTTTTTGTGCAGCAATTGTGTGGTGTTAGCCAAGGTTGGGCCAGTTATGCTAAACATTGCATTAGTGCAGCATAAAATAGCAGAATTCCGCTAACATTTAGCACAGCACAACAGAATTCTTCCACAACTGTGCTAACACTACCTGCACAGGCCACAAAAAAGGGGCCACTACGCTGTGCTACAGCAAATTCTAGTGGCTTTTTGGATGTTTTTTTTTTTTGCTAAGATTGCTGTAGCACAGTTAGACTAACAGTGTGCTAATACTACAGTGTTGGTGCACTGTTTTGAGAGCCGCTACACTAACGTTAGTGGCCTGTTTAGTGTAGTGTAGCATGATGAAAAACAGGTTTTATTATAGAAACTAGAACCAAAACTAGAGAAGAAAAAACATTAGATAAATCAAACAAATATAAGAAAAGGAGAATTGAACATGACATGAGTTTAGATAAGAAAAGAAGCATACCACAATAGGTGTTTTTAACAGGTATCAGAACAGAGAGACTGAGGTATATGAGATCAAATAAGGACAAGTAGTACGAGCTTTCACAGATAAAAAGAATTTAGTCAAAAAAGAGTCAATACAAGTCAGACGAGGATGAGATAAGTTCAATTCGGCCTTGAGTTTCTCACCAAATTGGTAGTAGCCAAGACAACAGTTTCAGGGAGAAGGTTGGAGCAATCAGAAGAGTCAATGATCGAAAGGATTAGATGTCAATGTGATGACAAGATTGATAGGATTGTTTGACGAGTGAGAAAAGAGAGAGAATGTCAATGAGAGAAGAGAAAAAGAGTCGGATGCAGAAGGGAAATTGAAGGATAGGAATGTTGGAGGGAGTTGAGTGTTGATGGACGTTGAGGCCAAGCAGATTGGTGATGGTTGATTTGGAGGTGTTGGGAAAGATTGATTGTTATGTCGATGGTAGGAGCTGCTAGAGTTTGATGACTGGATCGAGGAAAAGCCGGTATTTAAGTCATTTGATTGATGGTTGACTTGTGGGTTAGGTTTTGAGGAGGTTTGATGGTTTTCATCTTGAAGTGTTTGGGTTGTGGCTGTGAGTATTGAGAAGTGTATTGAGAAGATGGTATTGAGGAGTGTATTGAGAAGATGTAGGAAGAAAATAGACAGAAGGGAAAAGGAGAAAAGAAAGCAGAGAAAGGGAGAGGGAGCGGAGACGGAGAGGGAGCGGAAAAGAGAGAGCAGAGACGGAGAACCAAAATTCCAACATAGCATACTGGCCTATCACGGGTATAATATAGGTTATATGAAAGAATTCCAAGCCAATTTGGTGAGAGCTGGGGAAGAAGGATCAGAGAACAAATCTTGGGGCAAAAGGCTCAAGAGAAAAACTTATGGTTAAAGAGACCGAAAAGGGGCTATGAGCTGCTTGTGTGTAGCATAAAAGTGTTCATGCAACAGATGATTGTATCTTTTAGTGACCACAGGGAACAGTTCCCAAAAGACTGATGGTTCTCATTTTCTAACCCAAAAAGCATGACCATTTTTCTACATACAAGTTATGGCTGGGCTGTGGGACAGAAGGTGAGGAAGCATATTCATCTGGAAATGTGAGAAAGGAGTGACAGATGAGGAAGGACTGACACTTGTGTGACAGAGGGAAAAAGGAGAAGACACAATGACAGCTAAATTCCAACATTATATTAGTTTGACAACCTCTTTGACAGGCAGTTAAAAATGAAATCATTTGGTTGCCTTAGAAAGGTATGTATTCTCTGAAACAGGGGCTGCTGAAAAAGGTCCCAGACACAGCCTGGAAGTTTGTTCTTTTTCTACCTCCTTGAAACCCAAAACCCCATTGATTTGAAACAATCCAAAACAGTTCTCATCCCTTGGATATTTGCAAGATTCTTACTGAAAGCTTGGATAAGATTAACTTTGTCATAAGTGGTATTCCTTAAATTACATTTTGATAAGTGGTATCCCTCATTGATTAATAATTGAAGAACATGGAGGCAAGCATTTGTGAAATTTGGGGACTTTTCAGAAGATGCCTCATATTCTTCAAAGGACTTGAGGGAAAATTGAAAGATTTATTTTTATTTTCCAAAAAAAGGAGAAAGCATCAGGCCATTCAGGTAGCAAGGAATTAAAGGGTTGGAACATGCTCAATCAAAATTGATTTTTCACAAGCCTTGCCATTGGAGGCTTGTATTTCTTGTGAGGGAGTCTTCATCACCATGGCTGAAGCAAGATAATTATGTTAAGTTAGCCCACCCTGACAGGAGCCTGCAATTAGTGCAAGTTACTTTCCACCCCTTCTGGGTGGCTGATAAAGCTGTAGAATTTAAACTGAAAGTTAAAAAATGCAGACACAGGCAGGCAAGAATTGTTAAGCTCTGAATGCTTGCCTAGTCTACCCCTTGAATTATGAAATAGAAACATTGCTGTAAAAATACAACTGCCAAATATAATTTGACGACTCCCAACAACTAATTTATGGGCTGGCTTTGGGAGTTGTTTGGCTTTTTTTAATTTTGTTAGGAGTTGGCTCCCCAAATCACCCCTCACACATGGGGGGGGGGGGGCGAGCAACCTGTAAATGTAAATGAATCTCATGGTACCGCACATAATCATGGCCGTCATTGTACTCTTCCGAATTCAGCATTGAGACGTCTGAAGTCTAGCTGGGAATATGTCGAACATCATAGACCCTCAAAGGAAGTGAGGTACAGCTACTTACTGACCAGAAGGGATTCCTCCCAGTCAAGTGGGAGTGCCAACCTCCCCTTCCCCCACTCATGTGTGAAGGGTGGTTTGGGGAGCCAAATCCCAAAAGAAAAAGAAAAGAAAATAATGGTATTCCAGATTGCTCCTGAAACTGGCCCTAATTTTGGTGGACAACTCCCAACAGATGTCTGTTGATGGTTGTTAACAGACATCTGTTGATGGTTGTTAACAGACATCTGTTGATGGTTGTTAACAGACATCTGTTGATGGTTGTTAACAGACATCTGTTGATGGCTGTTAACAGACATCTGTTGATGGTTGTTAACAGATATCTGTTGACGGTTGTTGTCAAAATTTAGGAGTTGTTTTTCTAAGCCGCTGATAATGATTGAAGAAGGGTGACCACAAAAATCTGATTTGGTACCAAAGGAACAGATATGGTCTCAAGAGCTTTGGCAATCAACATTGATGCATTTTCAAGGTGCAGCCAGCAGTTTGTTGGATGCTTGTATTGAGGGTATGCTTCAACCGAGATGTATTTAACTCTCTCAGTTCCACATCATCACTTTCTTTCCTCACTGAATCAGAACATCAATTATCTTAGTGATTTGTCTCACTTGTCACAGATAGCCTGTGACTGTCAGTCCCACCTACATGTGTCCGCCTCAACACAGTTGACTGCCATAAGCAGTGCTACTCCCCTAAAAAAAACTTCAAGTTAAATACCTACTTGACTTCAAATCTAGCAATTGATCCTTGCCATTTTGAATATAAGAACATCAAATAAAAAATAACAACAGTAGCAACAAAGGAGAAAGTCTGATAAAAGGGCTGGGCATAAGATGAGATCTGTGGATATCAACAATGTATATAACTTAATGATACAACTCTGCACAAAGAAAAAAAAGAGACCAAGACAAGGAGAGAAAAGGGAAAAAAGACCAAAAGGGAAGTTATGAAAGGACAATCAAGTCAAGAAAATGAGGCAATCATAACCATGGCATCCATGTAGGATCCATAGAATATAATTTTGGTAAACTACTAGCTAAATTGATCAATTCAATTATTGATTGACAGACTGGTTGAGGATTGGAAGGATCAATCTGATTATTGTTATTATTTTGATACAGAGGGAAGTGGTCAGCAATAGTCTTTTGAATAAAGAAAATGCACAATTTGGAAGAGAAGAAAAAAAAGAACCTACAGTCTTTCTTTCCATTTCACAAGCCAGCAATCTAGACTTTCTGACAACCAAATCTATATTTTTTGAAATGACTTCACTGATGTTGAAGTCCTCGGACATCATTTTGGCTTGGGCAATAACATTCCAGGTCAGAACTTCATCTCTAACGAAGATTGACAGGTTATATTCCAATTCATTCTAAATTGGGGTGTTTTGAAGTGTTGGTTTTGAGGGTGAAAGAATCAGTCAGCCTTTGGCAATAACTTTTTCATCATCAATGAATCAAGGGATAAGTGATTTGAATCACGCACTTCGCGCTCCACCAAGACTTTTCCAATAGCCATCAAAGAGGCCGTCAAGAGGCCCTCAATATTTTGTCTCGTCAAGAATTGTTGTATGTTGGGGGTGAAACGGAATGGCACAGCTTCAGTGTGACCAAACTCGGGTTTGTTTGGCAGAAGGTCTGCAAGAATTGAAACAATGATGTCAACTTTACAACACAAAAAAGTCATCATGTTGGGAGATGATTAAAAAATGGAAAACACTGTTTGACTTACTAGGAAGCATTTCAGTCGTGAAAACAGCACCAGAAGAGCGATCAAACGTCAACCGATGTGGAGTTCGATGGGTGAGACTAAAGATAAAAGAGATGAAGATAAAGCTAGCATATTGAATCGTCATCCTCTTTCTAAAATACCATAAATCACCAGCAGTTTTCATACTCCTGATGAAGTACTAAAGTCGGATAGGAATTTCGTGTGTAAGCTTAGAAAAGGCCACTGAGTCATCAACTTATGGAGAAATAAACACGAACATTTTTCAATATACAATCTGGTATCATTTTCGCTGTGATTTCATCACCAACTTCGAGTTTGGTAGCAATAGAGTTGACATCCTGTGGTCATGGAACCATAAAGCATAGATAATATAGACAGACAATCGTATATCAGTTCATTTTCTTTTGGTGAATTGAACAAGATAGCTGATATTACCTCTACACCTTCAAACCCAAAGGTCCTCATCCTCTCAGCGTAAGCAATCAAAGGGTCATCTCTTGACATTCCAGCTTCTTGGCAGTATGATTCGAATATTTCTTGCAGTGTACAATGGGCTACATTACTCTCCACGATTCTGATATTCGTCGCGAGAGGGATCACAGCTGGTATTGTGAACGATACATTTTTGGTGCGACTTTCTCTTCGGCGTGAAAGTGTACTAAGGTTGTTTCATTTGAATCAGATAGGAATGATAAAATGCGATTAGCACAAAACAAAACTAAAAAATCAAAATCAAGAAGTTTGACTGACCAGTTCAACATTCTGAAGAGCTGCATAATCCTTTCTTCTCGTCGACTAGACCTGGGTACTGGCATTTGAATAACAAATGAATGCTGGCTGGCATCATGCCCGATCATCGTTATCCTACGGAACCAATGCTCCTTTTGTCGATGATATCCGTAAGCAGTCGAAAATCGCACGAGTCTGACGAAGTGCGCATTGTTGTCGTCGTCGAATCTCTGCAAAAAACGTCATCAAGAAATCCATGAGTGATTGAAGCCCGAAACACTCTACAAAGCCAATGCAGACCTTCAAGTATTGTCCGGGAATTTCGACATCATCAAACTTTTGGTATTGGAATTCAACCATCCAATGGCTTGCACTCTCTAGATTGGTTTTCCTCAGGTTTCTTTCAATATTTTTCTCATATTTTAGTCGCCATTCTTGTAGCTTGTTAACGTAAGTTCTCAAGTTTAGCGAACTTTCAACAAAATCTCGATGGAAATGCGGCTGGTGAAAGGCAAGACAGTCAATCAAGTTGCCCCTTCCGCTTTCAACTGTCTCAGTTTTGGCAAATCAGAAATACTTACTTGCATAGGCAATTTGCTTAAGTTTTCAGAGAATCTCGACAAATTGCTTTTGATAGTATCGGACAATTGCAAATCATCATTGGGGTTACCTGCTCTTTGGATATACGACTGAAAAGGGGGATGACAACACAGCTCTCCATTAGATCAGGGGGTTCCTGGTGAATAGAAGACTCAAAAATCTAGGACTTACAGAGAGGGCCTCTTGTAATAAGGCACTGATCAGCCGATACACATCTTCCTCTGGCGGGGCCTTGAACCGTTGATAAAGTTGGTCTACCAACATCTCCATTGACAAAGCTAAGAGGGGGAATTGTGTCTTCAACGTGCCCATTATGTCGTCCGCATGTTCAAACGGGAACGGCCCTGGAGGCGTGATACTCTGGGGAGGATGGTTCGGTAGTGTTGCAACATTTTGGGTAGGGTTTGCGCTTGTGTTTGGAGGTCCACCTTGCTGAGCCGATGCGGGTTGAGTCTGAGAGGAATTGTTCTCATGATTTGTTGAATTATTCAGAGGGGCACCACCTCCCCTTTGCCCGGCGTTATATGCTCTTTGCTTTTGTGGGAACAGCTCATCAATCGTTGTTCTAAGATAGAAAAAAAGAGACTAAAAAAAATTCCCATCGTACTTAAGTCATTTGGAAAGGCAAAGTCATCACGATTGGATAATAGGGAATGTGACTCACTTGGGGAAAAGCTTTGGCTATCTTGGTTAACAGCGCCTTTGCATAGCGTGCTTCGCGGGGAGCAGAAAGACAAGAAAGCAGTTGCGGGATGAAATACGTCCAATTCCAAACCGAGATATCTCCCTTGAAGCTGTCAAATGCTCGACCAATTGTTCCACTCGCATCATCCATTCCAATTAGCCATAGTATCCGAATCAACAACTTGCGAGCTTTGCCATTCTTGTACAGACCAGAAGCTTGAAGATAGCAGTTCACTGCGCCGGCTGCCAGTTGTAAATTTTCAGGAGACTTTTCAAACAACTTATCTTGGTAAGCACCCCATTGGGCCCAAGCCTTAGGATACTGGAAGTCGGTGCTGACAGCTTGATTGAAAACTTGCGAAGCTTCTTCGTGGAGATTTAGCCTTGCCAGAAACATGGCTTTGATAGTGTGAAACTCGGACTTCTGGGAAGGTCCAAAATACATCAAGTTTGTATGACTGATGACCTCGAATCCGGAGCCGAGGTCGTCAGGGTTTTCGAAATGAACTTTGGCTTGTTCACACAGCTTGAGGAAGGCTTCGGAAATCTCGATATTTGGCAAAGTGTAAATTCTTGTCAAGGAGTCTTTACACAGTTGGGATAAGCCATGCTTTCGAGCTACATGCGCAAACCTATTGACCATCCACGCGGTCTCGTGATGACCTCGATAAGCAAACGACTGCGTATTAGCGCCGAGGTTCGATTGAATCAATGGTATGTAGGTTCTGTTGATGGCTGAGAAAACGTGTTGCCTCCAAGCAACTAGATCGCTCCAAATGTTGATATCGTCCCATTGATTCGGTAATCGTTCCCTCCAGGTTTGCAATACGTGCTTCAAGTCTGCTGACCTGGCCTCAAGATTTTGGCTAGTGGTTGTTGTCAGACTGTGGAAGATCTGCGACGCTTCTTGAAGTTCAACGAACTGTTGGAATGCTTGCAATAACGGAATGTGCGACTCAGTTACAATTTCGGGTAATCGAAACCATTGGTGAAGACATAATTGAATGCCTTCATCACAAATTCTAGTGAATTCCGAACGGTGCTCATCAACAAGCAACCCCATGTGACTCTTGAGTAGCGTGAGGTAAGCTTGAAAGGTGTTCCTTCGGATGCTTTGTGAGGGAAGATTTGTGATGGCAAGTTCAATACTTTCATGCTCGGTAGACCAGTCGGCCTGTCTCCACTGACACTCAAGCAACAATTCGCTGTTATGCTCAGCCCTCGCCAAATCGCTTAAGAAATCCCACTATATGAAAGAGGTTTATCAGTTTGATCAAATCAATATGTCAATCTCAAAGTAAAAAAGACGATAACTTCAACCTTTCCAACTTACTTGTTGAATTTTTGAAGCGCATAAAACCCAATGATCTTCCCAAAGATTGTATTCACCTTGTCCAAAAGGCAGTAGATTTGATCTCGCTTTTTCCTGAGCTATCTCATACTGACAGGGAAAGTCGAGATTGTCGTTTTTAGCTGTCAGGTTTAGAAATTATAGAAAAGGTCAAAAACTTACTGCTTGTTCAGCCGCTTCCCATTCACCAATTTGCTCGTATGACATCGCAGCATTAGTCTCGATACATAAACTCTTGCGCCTCCATTCTAATTCAAAAGCTTCAAGAAATCAGAGTCCATATTTGGAGAAACACGAGAAATAAATCAGAAATCACTCACGACCATAAAATATATCAGTTTCGCCTAACTCGGCGTACAATTGAGCCAAAGCCTCACCGGCGACTTCACGGCTGTTTTCGGGATGATGTCGGTTTTCGTTATGACTAACGTTCTGAGCGTCTTGATTGAAATCGACCACCTCGTCCAAAACCTCCTGCAGATTTTCGATTGCAGTATACCAAGCAGCGTAAGTTTTGCCCAGATATCTGACCAAATGAGGAGGAAGGACGACGGTTGGATTGCAGCCTCTAACACCGGATAGAATGATTTGGACTACGTTAGGTCGACGATCAACAGCCTTCATCAAGTATTCTTTTGAGAATAGATGGATCAAGTATCTGGTCAAATCGGCTTGCTCGCGCTTAGAAAATGTCGTCCAGGCTGCTTGAAATAGCGATACCCAAATCTTTTCGGTTTCAGCTGGATCTGCATAAAGAAGTTGACGTGCAGAACTGATGACATGGCCGATTTTGATGGATTCAGCCCAATTCAAAAATTCAGATGAGTTTGGAAGCGGATAGGGAAGTCGGCCTTCGATCAAAACCGGATCATTCATCTCAATCGAGCCCAGAAAGATATCTAATGCGTGATGGATCCAGTTGATATCGGCCAGTGGTTCCCAATTCTGAACCCCGATCAAGTACTGCAGTCGGGCAAAAGGCTCGGGCCGAATGCTATCATCAAATACAGCCATGAATTTTGTCCTTATTTCTGGGTCTCGACTGCGACAGCCCAAGAGAAAGGCTGGTTCGAGTTTCACGGTGAATTCCGATCTTGAATAGCTACTCGATTGATAGATATCTAAGATTAACTTGAGATAGTCGTTGAGTAATTCTTCATTACCCTTCAGCTCGTAACTCATCATCTTGACCAATATCGTTGCTTTCTCTCTTGGCGTCGGCAACGGATCCTTATCTTCAATCCACTTCCGCTGAACACTCAGAATGTAACGGCACAGTCCGATATGTGGAGATTTCTCGACTAGTTGAACAAGCCCACTCAAAAGATACAGGCGATGTTCTCCCATCGTGGCGACCCGGGTCTTCATTAAGTCACACAAACCTTCTAGGAGATGCCTGGTTTGCTCGACTGTCGGATGAGTGGGATCTGCTTGAGTGGCTGCTAGATGATCACGCATGGCGCGGGAGAAATTTCGGACGATATCAGGGATGAAAACTTCCACTTTCGAAGGTTGCGCTTGATCGAAGGCCTGTAGGAGCGCCAGCGCCGAAGTAAAATTTTCTTGGATGCGAGGCTCTTTCAATCCTTCTTTGATCGTCGAGTTGACCCACTGCTCAAAAGCAGCAACCGCTGCGCTAATCTTTTCCTTCTCTTCATCTTGATCCGAAGTCGATCGATCCTCGACAGGCAAGACGCCAAACACCCTATTCAGTAGCGGCCGTTGGACTTTGAATAACTCATCGCACTTGGAACTGACACCCTTCTCAACCAAAGTTTGAACGAGGCCTAAGTTGCTTAAGAGCCATTCATCTGACTTGTTGGCTAGGACGATATTCAGAAGTTCGGCGGTATTGCAAACAACTCCAACGTTTCCTTCGGTAATTTCAGCTGACAGGGCACGCTGGAAGTAGTTAACTTTTACCTCCACCTCCGGCCAGACTTTGGTCAAGATTAGCCTCATTAATGAGAGGGCTTTAGCGATCGGCGGATTTTTTGAGGTTGGTTCGTTGGGATACGTAATTACTCGAATAAGTACGCTGACAATCGCATCTCTGATCGGGTAAGGGACGATGTATCCCCCTAGCGTCATTTCAGATCCAGCTGCGGATGGGACGGGCGTACTGGGTTGATCCAATTTGATTCGCTTGGCAGGAGATGACTGTTCTGGTTGTGGACTTTGGGCGCGACTAGTAGCCAGTGCATCTTGAGTGATCTCATCTTTGCTGGTTGCCTCAATCCGTTGCTGCTCCCACCGAGCGACGAGTTCTATCAAATCTACAACGAGGCCTCGCATTTCAGGATTCGAGCTTCCACTGACGGTCAACCTGGGCAGGGCTGCGGAAATGTAAGGGATAAAAACATCTCGATGGGCAAAAAAAGGCTCGGGGTTTCGAAGGACTGTTGAGTAGAAATTATACAAGAAAGACAGATTTTGCCCTTCTTCACTCAGCATACGCTTCGTGAGTCGAATCCATTCCGATGGGTTATCCTTATACCTCTTAGGTATGACTGGAAGTAAGATATCTAACGCTTTCTGCGCCATATGTTTGGCTTCACTGGTATGTAGCTTGAGCAAAGCATTCAAGATTTGACTGACAATTTTTGTTGGAGAATCGTAGACCGCGATGAAACGAGAGATTAAAATATAGGCCGCGTTTTTGACTGTCTGATCGTCCCTCAAGCTCAGGAAGTACCAGCCAAACTTGATGATCTCTTTTCTCTGGTCGGCGACTAGATTGTGCCGGTATTGTACGATCAAGCTGGCCATGTGCAGCAATTCAACATCTAATTTGTCGTCGGATGTAAATGGTTTGACGTTGGTATTCGGGATGAATGCACTCCAGATGACGAGGTAGACTTTGTTGATGTATTCAGTATCAACAATGTCTTTCTCTTTTTCGCCTCGTTCAAAGGCCACCAAAAGGAGAGGATTGATCAGGTGCCGTAAGATGGCGGCTTTCTGCTGCGGACGAACTTCATGATTGTTAACGATATCAAGAAAGCGTGAAAGGACGGCCGACTTGTAGGTGACATCCGTACTTTTCAAAACTTGCTCATTGTAAAATCGGGTAATGTGACTGTATTCAATAATTCGATCTGCATCCAGGACATCTGCCAAATGAAATAAGAGATCAATGTTCCCGAACGGTTGGGTCCTGATGCAGGTCATCATGATTTCAACCGTAACCACATCCTCGCGAAGTTGAATAAAACGCTCATCACCGATCCCAAGTGCTAGTCGTGCTTTCCTTCCATCGGATACCCATCTTTGACTGAGAACATGCATGATTTCCGTATTCGTGGCAATCGACTCGGGATCTTTGACGACTAACTGCTGCAAGACGATTGTACCATGCAAACCCCAAGTTCCAGCGGCGGTATAGCTTTGTTGGAGCCATTCTAGAGCGCGATTCTTTAAATACGTTCTAAACTGTTCCGAATGATCGCTGAGTAGGACCCATTTTAAAGTATTCAGATGACGATCATCATCCAGCCGGTGAAAAAAGTAAGCTGTAGCGGGCTCGGGATAGAGATTGATGTAAAGAGACAGTGGCTTGGTGAATGGACTAGCAGTGACTTTCTTCAGTATTGTCTCGACGTGTACCACGTATGCGATCATATCACGTAGATAAACACCAGCGGCTGGGCAAGCTAATAGGTGAAAGATGTTCACGACACCAGCCATGATTTCCAAGACGCCACTTTCCTGTGAGGATGATAGAGCTGCCGTCGCGAGTGTCTGAGGATCTGAAAGTTGCCTGAAATGATCCAAAAGTTTAGATCCAATCTCCACCTTGAAATAATTCGTGAGCAACTCGACTAAGCGCGCGAGGCCCTGTAAGCTAGGGAGCGTCAGCTTCTTGTGGTCTGAGAGATTGTTCAAAACCGGCCGCAGTCCACTTTGTAAGAGATCTTTCGGCAAGCGACTTCCTCCGTTAGCAAGCAGCTCCTTTAAGCTTGCGTGTGCTGCATCGACCACCTCGACGTTCTTTGCATACAAGGATTGAAAGTAAACCGAAAGGATTTTGGCCTTCGTAGCTGATTGTTGACGCATTTCGGGTAACCTCAAAGTGGCCGCCAGAAACCTCAAGCAAACCACTCGCAATTCAATGAGGGCTTTGGCCGTTTTAACTTGGTTTGTCCTGCCGATCAATGCTACATCATCCGCATCGGCAATTCCGAGGGCCTCCTGCAAGATTCTCATCAGCTGATCACTGTAATCAAACAGTGGAGGGTCCAATCGAACGCAAAAGGTTAAGGCATCAAGGTGTCCAATCTGCATAGGGAATGCCAGCGCGCGCAAAGGTTTCCCAAAGATTGGCGACAATCTTTCTCGAGCCGGCAGCAAAAGTTCATGCATCGGTTTCTGAGTCCGTTCACTGATTAGTTGTAGAGCTAATTGGGCCACCCTCCGGACCCCACTGGTCTGACTACACAGTTCGATGATCAGTAGACCAACAAGATAGGTCAATTTGGCCGTCATTTCGGATGGAGTAGGCGTGTTAGACGGCTTGTGGCAGATCCTTAAGAGCTTCAAAAACGTATCTGTTGGTCCCTCCAAGATCTTCTCCGTAGCAGACGGGGCATCCTTGTGAAGGAAGAGCAGAGCCCTGATGATTTCCAGCTCGAAATCTGCGATCCAACTAGCGCTCATCTCTGTATCGTTCACCAAAATAGACAAGACTTGATGTCCAGCGCACTTACGAGGCCACGAATGATCGTAGCAGGAAGAGCTGGCTTTCCTGCACAGGGTTCGTTTGGCGTGGGTCAGAATGTCTTCTTTGAGGGCGGATGTGGTTTTTGCATGTTGGAAAAGCTTTTGGAAAACTCTGTGTGTGAATTGGGATGCAGCTTGAAGGTGATTTTGATCCGTGGCAACGGTGAGATTATCGATTAAAGCATCAATGATCGTATTGGTTAACGAAAGCGAATAACGCGCTTGCTCAGGATTGGGGCCCGGCTCTTGCCAAATTTCAGTGATGAAGACGTGTTCAAAAAGAGATGAAAGATGGGATTCGGCATCGACAGAGAATTCCGGAACTCGAGTAGCATCAAATAACCCCTTGAGCAAAACAGAGAAGGTTTCTTCCCGTTCACCTTGTCCATATCCCTAAAAGAACAGACATCAAACTTTGCATGAGAAAAAATTGGAAATTGTTGGGGGGGGAAAAGAAATTGTGGTAAAAGTCATACCATTGACAAAAACACGGGCGTGATGTTTTTCAAAAATCCAAACCCATTCCTTCTGTAGTGAATGTCTCCACGTCGCATCAGTCGGGTTGCCAGTTGAACCAGGGGAGGAAGAGTGAGACTTCTTTGATGACCGTCTAATCTGATTGGTAGGTAACAGGCTTGGACATCAACTTGCTTCCACTCGATGGTTTTTGGACGCAAAACTTTTCGGTTTCGGCCACCTAATTTTCCAAGGATACGCAAAGCAACGGGCGCGTGATTAGGGTTGTAAGGAAGAGGCTTCAGGAGCTTCCACAGAGATGTCATCACATCATGGACGACCGGTGCCATCAACGGGGTAAAGAATTCCTGGGTCAGGTTGTCGACGCATAACTCCAGCGTTCGTAACCCTTGAGAAACTAGATCAGGAACGGCTTGTAGGGCAATTACTAGAGGTCGCATTAGGTATGTGAGGTAGGGTAAGAGCACGCTCAGTCGGACGGGCACCGTCAGACATAGCTCGGCAAACAACTCCCTTTCTTTCGAATCGGTGGTCGCATTGAGGAGTACATTCAACTCTTCGAGTAAAACTTGGATCAGAGGTAACATTTCCTTGTACAAGATTTCAAATCGACCGCCACCAATAGCCCTGAACAACGCCCGTAGTACAGAGTAATATTGCCCAGGCTCGTTTGAAAAGGAGGCGAATCGGAGAGAATCCATAATCAAGCGACTGAGATGAGGCTGTAAGGTTGCTTCAACATCAGGGAACATGTTGACAGCCAAGAAGCACATTTTGAGAAGTTTCACGATGACTCCGGATTGTTTGTCTTTGCCGAGCTCATGAAGGTGTTTCATGATGTGTCGCAAGGTGATCCCAATGGTTGCTTTGCATAGAACTGGACTAGCTAGGAAATATTGCGGGAATGCTAGCAAATCTGGATTTGATCGCAATTCTTTCATCAGTAGCGGCATGCACGGCTCAAAGGTTTCACTGAACAAAACTAGATCGGCCTGAGTAAACATGGAGACAAAACAGTCCACGATCTCCTTCATTTCTCTGCCGTCTCGACGGTGCTCGTAGATTCCAAAACACCGCACCGCCCCAGTCAATAATCGGCCTAAGAGCATCGCGTCTGGTAATGGGGCATCCATCTTCTTCGTGTTCCCAAAAAGAATTTGAAAGCTTGTGATGCAAGAGCGAACAAGCACGCGGCGCCCGTAGATAGGATCTAAAGACGTACAGTCAGGGAGTCAAAAGAAAGTGAGCACGGCGATTCCCTAAATTATTCCATTCAACCCAGACTCACCCTTGGAATGATCGAACGGTGGCTCAAGGACGGCCGCAACCCCACCAAGAATCTTTCCTCGTTCGATAAGAATGTCTTCAGCCTCTTCTGGAGTTCGATCAGGGGGAGAAAGTCTGCCACTCTCAGTGCGGGATTTGGATTGAGGATCGGATGAACCGGGGGTATCGGTTTGTTTTCCTTTGCCCTTATCCTTGAGTGGTTCCTCCTTGAGACGATTCGAGCTGTTCTGCAATTGTTCTTGGGCATCAGCTTGCTGCTTGATCTGATAAGCTCGATTGTCGGCAAGCGCTTCGATCTTCCGGACAAAATTTTCCATCAGCCATCGGGAAATTCTGATGCCTTCATGCTTTTCGAACCGATTTGAATTGACCAAATCGACAAGGCTATAAATGACCTTTCCGGCCATAGCCTGGGTAGTGGTTGACGCTGTCGGATCGTTCAACACTTCGGCAAAATTCATTAGGATTGCCTTGATGTGATTACCTAGAAGGTCTGACTTGATGTTTTGTAAAAGATCGGTATAAGTGTTGTAAACCAAATGACGCAAGGTCTCAAAGGAAGTGATCCCGGTACCCATGAATACTCGAAAGTTCAGCAGGTCGTTCAAGAATGGAATGAACAACGAGCGGTATTCAGTGCCGAGGATATGGCGCAGTGCAACAATGAGTTCTCGGCGAGAGAGTGATGACTCCGGTGGAATATCTTTGAGTATGCGAAGGACTATTGTTGGGATCTCGGTTCCGAATGGCTGAACCAGCGTTGCCTGGGCTCTGATAACATACGCTATGAAAGACATAACCTGGCAAATGTGTTCCACAATATATTTGACATCAATCAAGGGATAACTAATTCAAGACGAAGAAAGGGAAGCGAAGGAAAGATTCTCACCTTCACCTGAGCGATCATCAACTCGGTGTGTTGACTCCGTTTACCGGCTTTGGTAATAGTCGGCGCAACGCCGATGAAAGGGCCTTGACCACGTTCAGCAATGACCCCATGCCACATGACTTGAGGGAGGGGTGACGTCCTGAGAAACTGCAGATATATTCAAGTTCGGGCCAGTTACATCAGCCCAGAAATCAAGTACCTTGAATGAGAAAGTGGTGGAGGAAAGGTGAAAATGAGCCAAAAGTATGAACTAGCCTTGAAGATGATGGGCAAGCAAGCTGGTAGACTGGGTTGTACAGTAGCTTTATACGTTTGTAACAAAAAAACTACCGCGACAGGACATTCCTGCAGGACTCTAAAAGACTTCATACCCCTGATTGCTTCAGTAGAGCTAGAATCTGTTCCAGTCAGTGGGGCGTTTCCCGAGATATTTGGATTCCCACTTGCGGTCCTCCGCATCAAGTTTGCTTTGCCGCTGTCAGGTGTCGGTTTGTTTGGATCGAGTTGATTAGTGCCATCAGATGAGATTGGGATGCCATCGGGTTGATTTGTATCCGTCTTGATATCTCCAAAAATTTCTTCGGTCGTAGCTGGCACAAGATCATACATTTCCAGGATTATTTGGAAGAATGCGGCGACTGTAGGTTCTAAAATCGATTTGAATGATCGATAGAGATCGACCACGAGCTTGAAACAAATCATCACGGATTCTTCGTTATCGTGTCGGATCATGTCAATCAGCAAATTCATCACTTTCAAAGCATTGGTTTTCATAGCGTCGTGTACGGGAATGCGCCACAAAATGTCGAGGAGGAGAAGCCGATATTTCTACAATTTTCGACAATTTCAGTGGTGTCTTGAATCAGTTCAGTGATTATGACAGAGAAAATTCGAAAAAAGACTTCACAACGGCAATTGCATTTATGAAAAAAAAAAACTTTCAAAAAGATTGAATGACTGACATAATCCCAAGTCGACGTGATAAATACTGGACGGGTACTAGAAAGAATTTCGACCACAGCCGAAATGATTATATCAAGGTGTTTTGTGAATTCCACGTCTCTCGAGCACAGTTCGATCATTTCTCTGAGTTCGGTGATGAGATGAACTTTCAATTTGACATCTGTGAATATTAAACATGAGATGTTGAGTGTAAAGATGAGAACTTCGGATAAGGCTCAGGCCCAGGCTTATGGGAGAAAGAAACTTACCACCGTTGAGATCCAACAGTTTTGCCCACAAGTGCTTCGAAGTCCACTGGGGCTGGGGTGTTAGTCAGTGTGGTTGCAGTAGAAAGAGCCCGGGGCGGGTGAGCAAGACGCGATATTCGGCCCGCCATGTTGGATGCCCAGTGATGCTTTTGAGGAGGAGACGTTGGGTGTCGTGATAGGAGTGGGTGTTGGGGCAGAAGAAGGGGTACCCGCGGTTTCTGGAGGGAGGATTGGGTTATTGGCCATTGGAGGATTTTGATGAGATACGGGAAACGCTCAGGATTCCCCGAACCGAATAACGACCTCGAACCGTGATCGACTGCGAAAGTGATATGTAGCAGCTTGAGTCCTGGTATTCTGGGGCCGGTGCTTTTTTTTCTTGGCGATATGAGTGATTGGTTCAGGTGACTGATATGGGTCTTGATTCGAGTGATAATTATTGAAGTCGTCCGTATTTTCAATCATTCAACCGTTTCTATTCGCTTCATAATCTGCTTGACGTGCTTGAAGAACAGCTTGAGTCGCCACGATCGAGTTGGAAAATGAATTATCGATCCAATTTGACCTTGATTTCGATTGCTTTTGAACCTGTTGGCGACTTTTGGGTTGATGAGGTGGGTGGAGACTGTAGTGTGAGAGTGAGGTGGTTTACCGTTTGAGAGTCGAAGAGGCGGTCAACAGCCAAGTGCTGGACGAGGGTCGATCGACGCGAATTTGGAGTGTCCACAGCCGCAAGGATGACGATCCTGCTCTTGATTTCAGCCCAGTTGGCCGCGTTGAATGTTCACTCTTCCATCTTGTCACATCTCCCATTAAAATGTTCGTACACTTACACTGACAGATTGGAAAGCACTTCAGAGCTAAAGATTTCACCAATAAAAATCAATTTCAAGACATTCAAAATGGAATCTACAAGGTGTTGGTCTGAGCAGAGCTAGATTGACTTGTTAGTAAATTAGATGATGAAAGGGGGAGAAAACTGGACCTTATGATGCTATTTTGACAGTGAGTCAGTTTTTGGCATATTGTTCAAACCCAGGGTGTCTACTTATCGGCACTCATGCTTCTTTCCTGTTCTTGCTACCAACAGTAGAGATAATGGTTCTAGCTTCTGGCACGGGTCATGTGTGACAAGCATAGGCAATGGGTTGAAAGATAATGACGACATTTAACTGGAAAAATATAAAAATGTTGGCAGGAGACTACAAATTGATTACTAATGACTGAATGCTACTAAATGAATTACTAATACTGATACATATACTGATACTGATATACTGGAAAGCTGAATACTTTGATCAAGACGACTAAGGTAAAATCCACTTCAGAGAGGCTAAGTAATAACAACAACTAATTGAGAGAGACTAGTACTTTGACGGGTGATACGGATGAATTGAGAATGAAAATTTAGTTTCGAGCATAGATTTCTTGAGTTATCTTTTTATTCTGGTAATTTGAATTCAGTTTCGTCGTTAGTAAGCCATGCCAACCAAATCATCCGTAAATGTTTCTTGTGGGATTGGTGGAGGGGTGTCGAGAATGGAGCTCAAGAAATCAAAATCGCATGGTATCAACAAATTTCCGGGGTCGATGATACGGCTTCGGCTGGCTTGCGTTTTTTCGCTGGTCCAATTGACGGCTTTAGGTGAAGAGTGTTTTGAGGTTGTGGGAAATTCTGAATAATAGCCAAGTGTGGGTGAATCATCGTGACCAAGATCTGAAGAATAAGATTCTGAGCAGTAAGGATCGTTATGACGGTCCAAACCTCCCGGAGATGGTGTAGACGAACAGGAAAGACGAGGAGCAAATTCGGGCTGATTGATGTTAGAAGCGGGCATGGGTTTTCTTTGGGCTGTGGTGGAGCTGCAAGGATCCTCGTAGTTAAACTCTGGCAAGAGGTCCCCATAATCTTCATAGAACTTGATAAGCGGTTTCTTCGCCGGAATAGGTTTAGTGTGCGCGTTGGATGTCTGCTCTTGCGACTGCATATCCTGCGTTCCGTAAGAGACCTTCCTGGTGGTAGGGATGGCAAAGAAAGGCACGCGTTCCAAGTCATCTTCTGGAAGGGATTCATCCGACATCAACTCGTGTGAGAGACACAGTTTTTCGGGACTCTGTGCATAAATGTAGCGATCCTCCAAAAACTCAGCCGCGCTGAATGTGATCTTCGAAAAAGAGGATGCGTGTCGACGTTGAGGAGGTGTCAGCTGCCTGGAAGGAGTGTTCGAAGCAGGCGATGATGGATTGCTCGAGCTGGAACTAGTCGCGTAGCTAGAGCTGGTATCAGCATGACTGGGGGATTCGGTAGCCGTGCTGAAAAGTGTTTTCTGGGAAGCAAAACAGAAGAAATGTCAGAAATCTTGGGGAGGCTTTCGCTGACGAGCAAGAATAATCCTACTCACAGGTACGGGATCAAATAGTGATTCGGGCACGCTGGTGAGTTGTGAATTGGATCGTAACGACCGGCGAAGGTTCGAAAAGAAGCGGCTTTTGGGTTTGGGCGATGGGGTCTGGCTTGGATTGAGCATGTTGACCAGGCGAAGACGAGATCAGGAAAACCTAGGGAGAATGTGTAAGCCGGGAGTAGTTTGAGGAGAAAAGTTGATGGATTGTGG